TAGGTTGTCTCTTCACTCTATGGATTCTTTGGCTTTACAGAAGCTGTTTAGTCTGTGATAATCACATTTGTTGATTCTTGCTATTTCTTCTGCAACTGAGGTTCTGTTTAGAAAATCCTTTCCTACACTTATGTTTTCAAATGTTTTACCTATTTTATCTTCTAGTAGGTTTAATGTTTCTGTTTCAAAATTTAGATCTTTGATCTGATTTCATTTTAATTTCGTATGTGGTAAGAGATAAGGGTCTCATTTTATTCTTCTGCAAACAAATATCCAGTTTTCCCAGCACCACCTGTTGAATAGGCTATCATTCCTCCAATGTGTACTTTCTGGCTGCTTTGTTAAAAATCAAATAGTGAATACATCTGGGGAAGTGTCTGTGTGCTCAGTGCTGTTCTGCTGATCCATGATGTGTCTGGTTTGGGTCCAGAACCCTGACATTTTTACCATTATTGCTTTACAGTGGTGTGTGCTTTATAGCTTGAAGTCAGATATTGCTATGCCACCTGCTTTGGTCTTACTGCCCCAGTTAAGTTTTCTATTCGGAGTCTCTTCTGGCTCCATATGAATTTTGCGATTGTTTTCTTTAGATCTATAAAGTATGCTGTTGGTCTTTTGATTGGGGTTGTTTTGGATCTGTGTACAAGTTTTGGGAATATGGCCATTTTGACAATATTGATTCTGCCTATTCAGGAGCATGGATCTTCTTTCTGTTTTCTGATGTCCTCCTTAATCTCCTTCACAACACTGTAGTTTTCTTTATAGACGTCTTTTACTTCCTTGATTAGGATAATTCCTGGATATTCCATTTTTCCTGGAGCTGCTGTGAATGGTATTGTTTTCATAATTTCCTTCTCATCCCGTTCATTGTTGGTATATATAAATGCTAATGATTTTTATATGTTGCTCTTATATCCTGCTCCTTTGCTGGAGTTGATTATTAATTCTAAGTGTTTTTGGTGGAGTTCTTTGAGTCTTCTATGTAGAGTACCATATCATGTGCAAATAATGATAATTTGAGTTCTCCCTTTCATATATATATATATATATATTCCTTTTATTTCTTTCTCTCACTGAGTTGCTCTGGCTAATGTTTCAAGTATTATGTTGAATAGAAGAAGTGATAGTGGACAGCTTTGTACTGTTTCTGAATTTAGGGGAAATGCTTTTACTTTTTTCTCATTTAATATGATGCTGGCTGGCTGTTGGTTTGTCATATGTGGCCTTTATCATCTCCAAGTGTGGACCTTTTATGACTGTATTTCTCAGGATTTTTATCATGAAGCGGTGTTGAATTTTGTCAAAAGTCTTTTCTGTATCTATTGATATGATTATGTGATTTTTGATCTTGCTACTTTTTATGTGATGTATTACATTTGTTGACTTATACATGTTGAATTGTCCTTGCATCTGTGGGATAAAACCTACCTGATCATGATACATCATGTTTTTGATAATGTCCTGCATTCTATTTGTCAATATCTTATTGAGGACTCTTGCGTCTATGTTCATTAAAGAGATTGGCCAACAGTTCTTTTTTTCATTTGAGTCTTTATTTGGTTTGGGGATTAAGGTGATACTGGCTTCCTTAAATGAGTTTGTCCTTTTCAGTTTCTTTGAAGAGCTTGAAGAATTTTGGTGGTACAACATCCTTAAAGATTATGTAGAATTCTCCAGTGAACCTGTTGGCTCCTAGACTTTTTCAACTGATAGATTATTTCTGTGTCAATTTCACTGCTTGTTTTTGAGTTGTTCAGCACACTGAGGTCTTTTAAAAAATTATATATGGTCTCCTCTTTTTTCTCCTCCCTTTTTGTGAGGGGGTTACCGCAGGTTGGGGACTAGAGAAGTGAGGAGAGTTTGTGGCTCATATGGAGATTTTTATTAGGATATTGCCTCCTCTTTAAAACATGTTTCAGTGTTATACATCCAGTGCTAACATTTACCCCTTCTGTTATTTATTTTAAGTAATTTTTTACTCTGTCTCTATGTTTTGCTGAAAGAATTGCTGCTATTTATAACAACACCCAGTGATTCAATCTTACAGCCCTTCTACATGGCGGTCTGTGCAGTTACTCTCCCCCTTTGTCTATTCTGTATGCACACTATGACAGTTAATTAATTGTTGCTCTGCAGTGAGGTAAGTGACGTAGGGTGTGAAGAACGGCAAGTGGTCGACTGAGTAATGTTGGGCACTAAGGGCGAAGTTGGAAGGGGGCATAGTGGTAGAAGAGAAGAGATGTGGATGTGGGCTCTGATTTACTGGAGTACTTTTGGTTGAGTTGAAGGTTTAGTATTGAGAGTTTTCAGAGGATATTTTGTGGGAGCAAGGGCAAGACATGGAAGGAAGGGGCTCACTTTGTGGTATGGAAAGCTATGTGGTTGTCCGAACTTGCTTACAAGGAGGGTGGTAAGCTAGGTAAGAGGTGGAAGAGCCAAAGGCTTAGGATGGGGAGGGTGGAGGAATTATGGAGTGAAGGTAGCAGTGAGTGAGGGGGATAAGAATGAGGAACTTAAAAACTTGGGGGTGGAGTTTATATTTTTGGAAAAAGAATACAGAAATATGTTAATAATGTTGTCTGGGAGTTGAGAAGAGGAAACTAGATAAAGAGCTGAGATGGGGAGCACCTAGACACCTATGAAATTGGAGCCAGTGGACCAACAAATATGCAAGAGTAGCAACCTAATAAACATATGAAATCATCAGAACACAAAATAACCCCGTGTTACTAAACAAATCACAACACATGCAAAAACCTAATAAGATGCCCGATGGGAACACAGATTAGACATTCCAGTGAGACACTGCATATGTGATTCCCAGGTGGCTTCTTCTCTGGAGAGTCTGCGTGCTCACCCCATTTACATCCCTGATTCCTCCGCTGCAGTACTGAAGTTAACTCAGACCAGGACCTCTTTCTGCCAGGTTGTAGGTGTCCTTGCAGAGTTTGATGAAGTCTGAGTCCTTGGGTTAGGAACCCTTGCCGTCCCTCTCCCTGGGTGTGATGTTGGCTTTTGCAGACACATGGTGGCATTTAATTGTCCACTAAGTCAGGATTACTCCTGTGGAATAAATTCAACTACAGCCGTCACAGGCTAACCCTATTCAGTGGAACCTATCAGGGATAGCTGAGAAATGCCATGCCATAAAACCCTATTTTGGGTCTCTCATTAGCCTAGAGAAGAAATCCACAGCCATAGTGTAAGCATTGTAACATCCCAAGTCTTGACCCACAGCTCTGGGTGCTAATATGATGACTGTGTCTTTCCTACTGGTGAAAAGGAGCATTCAAGCATAATTTTTAAAATCAGTTATCTAAAGCCCAGGGAGCTGGGGGCCAAGTAATTCTAGAGGGGGAAGAGAAAAGAAAAAGGAAAACAATATTTGTAAGGCCTCTCCCCTGTGATATGGCAAGGAGGGCAGAGGAGGAGGCAAAGGGTGCTATCGATGTTAGGGGGATGTTCTTATGTGTTTAGAAAGGGATAACAGGGAAAACTGCAAAATTGGTAGTGGGGAATGGGGGTGGGGAAAATTCTGTGATTGACATAAATATTAGAGAAAAAGGAAACACCTGAAGAGGCGGAGAGGAGAGACAAGTGAAAGCGAGAATGAATAAGACTAGGAAGAGGTCAGGCGAAGAGAGAAGAGTGAAAGCAGGAGGGGTAAAGGCGAGCAGGAGAATCCCGTGCTGGCCACAAAGTTTCTAGGAGGAAGAAAAGGGAAGGCACAGCACCCAGACCAGTCATGAAAGAAAAAAGTGTACAGCAATGGAATAAAATTGTGAGGGGAAAGGCATATTGAGGAGGAAAACAGCAAAGAATCAATAAAAATCCCAACAAGTACAAAATTACAATAAAAATAAAAATGCAGTCAAATGAAGAATGGATTTTCAATTTTTGGACACGTGGCTGCTTTCCTCGCTCAGGCTCGTGGCAGGGACAGAGCTCAGGGCGGACACGTCCTCGTTCCCACTGGATGTCTGGGTGCCTGGACCGCGCTGAGAGCAGAGATCCGCCTGCAGGGGAGAGCACACGGGTGCGATTGCATCCTGCGGAGCTCAGGCCGAGGCTGGGACCTCTGACCCTGGGCGCCGAGTCTGGGACCCCGGCCCCTCCTCTCAGGGGGACCCCAAGTCTGCCCTGGCGCCGCGGGCGTCTCCCCTGACTGTCTTCTCCCGCAGTCTGGGAACCTGGCAGTGTGAAGCAGCCGAGCTAGCACCTGTTCTGGGGCCCAGGCACAGAGCCAGCCCCTCCTACCTATGGTGGGATCCCGCCAGCCTCTGGTGTGTGCGGCCGTGTGCAGCAGCCTCTTGCCAGCCTCGGCTGGAGGGCCGCTGGGGAGGCAGCGTCTGCTCCCTCACCGCTGTCTTCAGCCGCGCAGGGCCCTCCGGAGCGCGCAGGTCCCTGGGTCTCTGTGAACAGAACAGTCGTTATTCCCACGTGGCCGCCCAGCTGCTGACTGCAGCACCAGACGTCTCCCCTGCTCAGTGGTGGTGGGAGAAATGGTTCCTCTACATCACTTCATCCTCTTTCTTCTCCGCCAGTTCCCTGCAGGTTCCCAGGTACCTCCCGCCCACTCCAGTCCTCTCCACGATGCCGTTTTCCAGACTAGAACCTTGTCCTGGAGAAGCTGAGTTGCTGACGTTCACTGCTCCATTTTCTCCATGTCTAGATGTCTTTCCTTTTTAACCTTGCATGCTCCATGCTCGGGGGCCTCTCTGTAGAGGAGAACGTACCCTGCATTGGGCACCAGAGATGTAACCAGATCCCTCTAGCTCTCCAGCTCTCGTTTTGGGGCAATGAAGTTTGAAGCCGACGAAACAGTGAGCGGCCCGTGGAGGGCTGTGGCCAAAGGCATGCGAATAGAAAGAATAAAAGAAAAGCACTCCCTGCTCGCGGGGGCCACGGTTAAGTCCACTGGGCTTTTGCACAGTTCTGTATGCAATTCTTAGGCAGCTGCTCTGCAGTGTCCTGTCTGACTGTAGCTCTCATCTTTCCAGGTTCGGATTTATTCTCCACAAGGATGAGGCTGCCTTACACAAAATCGACCTGGAGACCCTGTCCCACGTGGGTGTGGTGGACCTGGGGGCGCACGGCTGTGTGCCCCACGCGCTGGCCTACTCGCACCTGGGCGGGTACTACTTCGTGGGCTGCAGGCCCGACGCCTCAGGCGTGGCGCCCCGGCAGCTCGTGGTGGACGGCGTCACCGACGCGGTCCTCGGGCCCAACGGGGACGTGAGGGGCACGCCTTACGTGTCCCCCGACGGCCACTTCTTGGTCAGCATCAGCGACGCCGAGGGCCTGGTGCGCGTGCAGCACATCTCCGTCCGCGGCGAGGTGCGCGAGGCCTTCGCGGTGCACACCACGCTGCACGTGGCCGACCTGGCCTTCCAGCCGTCCTTCGCGGCCGCTCGCCAGTACACGGCCTACGCCAGCTCGGGCCGCGGTGCACACGTGCTGGCCGTGGACCTGGCCTCGGGCCGGGTCCAGATCATCGAGGGCCTGAAGGAGCCGCTGGCGCCCGAGCAGTGGCCCTGGGACGCGAAGACCAGGCCGATCCGGGCCAGCGGCCTCTTCGGCCAGTACCTGATGACGCCGTCCAAGGACTCCCTCTTCGTCCTGGACGGGCGGCTCCACAAGCTGAACTGTGAGATCACCGAGGTGCCGAAGGGCAACACCGTGGTCTGGGTGGGCGAGGCCTAGGCGCCTCCGTGGGCCCTGCTGGGAGCACAGTCTTTGCCCTTAACCCGTGGGTCAGGCCCGTAGCTTACCTTTCAGAGCCTGTGTCCCGGTCAAGCAGAAGGCACTGGCAGGCCCACGTGAGTAGATCGCTTCTGACAAACACATTGGCGGAAACATTGCCTGATTAGACACGCTGGACACAGTGTCTAATGAGAAATGATATTACCTAGAAGATTCACACGTGTACTTAGGTTTTCGGCCCATAAAATACTATTTAAATGCTTTAAAAAAAAGTAACCTGCAGGGAATTTCAGATGATGTGAACATCATTTAATTTTGAGGGTAGTTTGTCTAATATTTCCCTCTATTTTTCTGGTATAGTAAAGCCAGAAATGAAAGGTAGTGTGGAACTTTAAAATTCTTAATTCAAAATATTCTGTCCACCGTTTATAATCTTTTGTGCCTTGAAGGGAATGTCACAGGAGGAACAGGAAGACCGAAAGCTGCGCACTGAACACCCTCATAGCTATAAATCTGTTGTTGATTAAAAATGCTTAATATCTCTTGGGCCAAATCCTGCCTTCAGTTGTCTGCTGGGCCCTCTGTGAAATTTCTTTTGAAGGCACAAACTGGCCTGAGGTTGCACACAGGTGACAAACCGTATCTGACACTTACTGTATAATCTGCAGCATGCTAGAGAAAGTGGAGAAGTAGGGAGGGAAAATAAACATGATAAAAATGTTTGCAATGTATATCCCACTCATTTTGCTTTCAATCACTAGAGTGCATTATATTTTTAACACTAGTTTGTCTGAGATTCCAGCTGCATACAGATGTTTTCTTCACTGCTAGCAGAATAGATTCTTTTCGTGTAGCTCAGTGTTCCACAGTCAGGAGCTTTCCATCTAAAAAAGAAGCATCAGCTGTGTCTGCTTAGAATAAATCAAATATAGGGAATTAACACCAGCGAGGAAAAGCCCAGCAAGGGTCTCATGCTGGAAAGAGTTCGTGATCGGAATTAGGAACCAGGGGATAGCTCCATGGTGGTCAAGGAAGGTGCACTTCTCCATTGCTTTCGCTATTTAAATATAATGCATCAAAGAACTTCATTCTTGACAATAACCTTCAATGATGTCTTCTATCCAACTCCTACATAATCCTAAAACTATCTTCTCACTGTGTGCTGCTGTTGGAAACCTAACTAATCCTTTTATGGAAGACACTGCAGAGAAGTAAAAATTATTGCTTCTTCCATTTTTTTTAAAGAGGGAAAGGGGAGAAGGCCCGTAGTAGATTAACACTAGAGAGTTGGCTTGTGGAGATAAGCAGCTGATTTTCCAGGCTTAAACTAGCAGCTTACATGGTTGAAGACATTTCTTACTTCTAACTATTGCTAAAAATGCTACTGGGCTGTTGAAATGACCTCCACTTACTGAAGGTAATCCAATAAGGTCTTTTTCTAAATACAAATTTTACTCAAGTTAAAATTGTGTAAAACTGCATAGAAACCTGAACTTTTATAGTGTGTAATATCTTATGTGTATATAGCACCCTGAGCTGTGTGAGGCAGTAGGTTCTTCTTAGCTTAAGAAAACATGGGAGGTAAATTTAACAACTAAAATCAGCCTCTGTTTCTACTTATTGAATCTGCTTTACTTTCTAGTAGTTTTCTCCTGTGTGAACACGCACCAGAGAAAGTGTCTGTGACTCGATGATTAATATGTCTGTCGCATACATCCTTCTTCCGTAACGTACACCACGTGGCTGCTGTCTGTAGACATTGCTTGATGAACTAATAAACCTCTTACATTTTAAGTCTTGTGCCTTTGGTCAGTGATTTTGTGTGCATCGCATTCCTCTCAAACACTTGAACCTGGTCTGGTGCTCTGTGTTACTTTGAAAGTGCTGTGATGAAACAGAAGTAGAGGAAAACTAAAGCAAAAGTTTCCTCTTTATAGGGAATCTGAATTGCTGTATATTTTTAATGTTCAGAAAAGCACAACCCTATGATGTCTATTTCTTTAGAATTTATATGTTAAAAGAATAATATCAGAAAGGAATAGCAGGATTACATTCGAAAGCTGGTGCTTTCCTTTCCATACCCTTATACATTGAACAACACACTGAGGAATTTTTGTTTTATTTTTTTTTTTCAGTGCTGAGGATTGGACAGAGCCTTACACATGCTAGCCAGTTACTCCACCACTGAGCCACACCCTTAGCCTGAGCTGGAGTATTTAAAAAATAGTTGATGAATCCTGACTTGAGAACCTAAGCAGATGCAGTATTTATGGTACAGTTATTCCTGACATGGATTTGTCTCTTCCAGGATAGGGTAAAGAGTAAGAGGTGGCATTGGGGTGTCAGCATCCCTCTGTGCACACTTGGGTGTGAAGTACATTGCACATGGTTATCTCATCAGTAATATATGTGTGCAAAGTCAAAGTGAAGAAAAACCTGTGTACAGTGATGAGCAGCCTGCATTAACAGAAGCTGTAACAAGCATGAGTGGATGTTTAACAGACAGAGGGACAGGTGAAGCTGTAGCCGTGAAAGGTGGGAAATGAGGAAAGGTAAGAAAGAAAGAGATGGGAGCAGGCTGCGGGCAGGGGACTGGAAGAAGTGAGTAGCTGTGGAAATCAGTGGAAATGGGGGAGTAAGCTACAGAGAGAGAGTGAGAGAGAGAGAGGTAGGGAGGCTGAAATCAGCCTAAAGAAATTGAATTTAATCAGAGCCTCAACAACAATTTAAAAAAATAAATGTTAGTAAAAACAGCATTTTAAAATGTTATTTTTTTTTGATGGGATGAAAATTTAACTGAATAAAAGGGAAATTAGAGGGAAAGGTATCAGGCAACTATTGCAAAAATCTAAGTTTTCTGGTCTTTAATATAGAGAAATTAAATTGAAGGTGCTTATTAAAAAATAAGACTTCTCAGGGTACTATATCCTAAATGACAACTAAATAAGAAGAGATGAAAATGGCAGATCACACATAGAACATCACTGATGGAAACAAGAAAGCCATGGGGGAGAACAGGTTCAGGTGAGAGACAGGATTCAAATAAAATGCAAATTAAATTACAACAAAGGATACACTTTCAAGATGTCCCATCACGCTCAGCAAATCAATGTAATTTTCAAGGGCTGTTCCACTGTCCATTTAATCATATCAGTGCGAATCTGAAAGACTGAAAAACCTTCTGACCTTTCAGACTCTCTCTCAGAAGTTCTCAGAATCTTCTTTTATGAAATAAATTAATTTCACTGAATTTTACATCCACTAAGTTAAGATTTCCCAGGGAAAGTGCTATGTTGAATCATATCACCTTATTGTACTGCATACACTTTTAACTTGAGAGCAGTCTTAAGGACAGTCTTCCTATTCATGGAAACCATAAAACTCTACCATCAGATGAACCCAATGTTACAAGCGCAAGAAATGGGAAAGGACCACGCCTAATGTCACTGGCCCTTATGCTTACCATGCAGATGTTCCAGTGTGAAAGGGAAACAGGAATACACAGCTACCAAAAGGCTATTTTCTCTTTTCTTCCTGCAGACCGTGACTAATATCATTTACCTCTCCTGACAAATTTCACAGATAGAAATACCACCTGGAAGTCATGCTGGATAAATTCTCACCTACTGTGTTAAGTCCTGGTAAATGTCTTCATCTTTCTAGAACAAAATCCCACCCAGATGACATGATTTTTATTTGCATCTAGTAAATTACACAGTACTTTTAGTAAATTTAAAAAGACAACTTCAGGAATAGTTAACAGTAAAATTAATGTGTTTCTGGCATTTAATGTGTATGACATAGCTATTTTATAGCAATTTACAGCTAAGTTGGTGATGTAGAAAAGTTTTAACAATTGTTTATGCCTGAGTGTAGTAATGATAAAATTCTCAATGTTTTAGGATATATTCAAGTTCAAAATTGAGTTTTGCACTGAATATAAGGTAGCAGAAATTGAGAAAGAACACACAGAGATACTAAACATTCTGTTTAAACATTTGATAAATGTTTTAAAAAATTACCTTCAAATTCATGCTTTGACATTTCAAAAAACATTTTAACAAAAGCCAAGATCATCTCAGAGTTGAGAAATATATTGCCATTTGAACAAGAAAAAAATGTACATGGTGTTCATATGTATGATTTCTTTTCACATATCCTTGAAAAGTACAATGTTTCTTTACACGTGAATTCATAAATGTATCTAAGGACAGTTAAGTGAGATACGTTAAAATTGATAGAGATTAAAATTGTTAAACATTGATTTATTCTACAATGCTTTTGCTCACCTGTCTGCTTTCAAAGCACTTTTGTTCTTAATTCAGTTGCTGTAATTTGTTTAGAACCACTAGCAAAGAAGATTAAACAATCCATTTGCTCTTGCGAGTAAAGTATACTTCACCACTTTAGATCACCAAACATCATTTCTAAACACTAATTATCCTTTAGGGTAATAATTATTTCAATTTGAGTAAAAGTGAGTATACTAATCACATTAAAAATACAAACATATACCACATTAATGTTATATTGTTTTGAACGCTGATTGCTGATAGAAGTGTCATATTCTGTCTATTTTTACAGCAATTAAATACTTCACTGGTTTGGTGTGTATATTTTAATATGTACATATTCAAAAATGAAAACATAAGTGGGTATATTGGATAATTCAGTTTTAATCCTTAAACATAGTTCATTATTACTTTGGAAGGGTCATCACATTTTGAAACAGTATTGTTTTACATTTAGATGTATTAAAACAAAATCCTTGTGTACGTATGAATACTGGTTCTAGATTGCAGAATCTCACATTTACTAGAGTGTGGATGAGCACAAAATTATAAACACAGAGAACTAAAAAGAAATCAAAGAAACACAATAATGAATATCAACACTGGAAACGTCACTAGATCAAATAAATTAAGGATGTGTAATTCTATACAAATCAGAAAAAGAAGCTAAACTGTAATTAGTACTTATGCATATGTAAATTTGTACAAAAATCACATCCATACTTTTCAAGATTATTAATACATATTTTAAATCAATTAAAAACACAAATCCAATAAAGAAATCTAATATGGAAAAAGGTCTCAATTAAAATAAACAAATTAAAATCAATCAATGTATACAGAAACAAGCACATACATCAGAATATCACAAATAGGTTTCAAAGAAGAAATAAAATCAAGATCTTTACAAACTATTTGTATTCCAGATCATCATGAAAATAAGAACAATATGCTTCAAAATTAATGGGAGTTTGTTCCGCTGCTCAGAGGAGAAGCGTCCTCCAGAGCGGCAGAAAGTCGCCCTGCTCCGAAGCTGGAAAACCCGGCGGCTGGGCCTGCAGCGTCTCTAGGCAAAGTGAGGTTGGACGAGAGACCGGAGACCGCTCAGCGTGCGGCGCAGCTCGGAGCCAGAAGGGCGCCTGGTGTCCACCGAGGCCCGCGGCTGCGCCGGGGCTGCCTGGAGGCGGAGGGCCGAGGCCTGGGACCCAGAGGCTGCAGCCCGGCCTCTCCTGCACCCCTGTGCCGCGCTCAGGGCAGGGAGGTGCCGGCCCGCTGGGCTGCGCCGGGAGCCAGCGGCGCCCACCCCGGCCGGCCCGAAGGCCAAGTGCTACGCCGCCGACCGCGGCTCCTGGAGGGCCGCTGTTCCTGCAGGTGAGCGGGCCGCTTTGCTGCTGAGAGAGGAGCAGCCGCTCGGCCCAGTCCAGTCGTCGGACGCAGGTGGAGACGCTGTTGGCCCCAGGAGCGAGGGCTTCGGGCGGACGGAGCCTGCGACCCGACCCGGCTGGCGTCCGGAGCTGCCGCCAGGGCCCAGGGCAGCCCGCTCGGCGGGGTCAGCCCCTGCCTAGGGTCCTGCTCTGTCCCGCTCTGTCCGTTTACTTTCCATTTGACCCTCAGATCTTCAGGGAAGCTCCTTGAAACAGCACATTTCCACCTCTTTCTTTAGCTGCACCTGCCTGTATGAGCTTTATGATTTGAGTTTTAGTCCATTTCCATTCAATCTGTCGCTGCTGGAGTTGAGTTTACCATCTTCTGTGTCATTTTTATGTAAGTCTCATGTGTTTTGAGTTCCTCTATTTTTCATTTACGGCTTCGTTTTAAATTGAATGAGCAATTTCCAGGACAAAATTTGAATTCCTATAGTGCTGTTTTCTTTTAAGAATTACAGCTGTGGTTGTTGCACTAGGGCTTACCATATAAACCTTAACTTACCAGAATCAAATTCAGATCTCTGCCAAGGTAATTAATTCTAGTAGACAAATGTCACTGCTGCATAACTATGTGCTTGCCTTTTATTTTCTATTGTTTTTCTGAAATACATAATAATTATAACTTTATATCATTTTATATTTTACAAAGCAGAAGTAGAATGAGCCAGTATTTATGTTGTTGCAAACATCTTATTTACCATTTCTGGGTCTTTGATTTAAGGCTAACATTTCCTCATTTCAATACAGCTTGGTTGTTGCTCATTACCTTTTCCTTTTATTGCCGAATATATTGCACAACTATATGTGACAGGTCTAACAACAAAGTATACAAATTGTTTAAAGAAATGTTTTTAAAAATGCATAATTATCTTTATCGGTGCTATGTGTGCATGAATATATATGTTCAAATTTCTAACTGCGGTTGCTTGATTTCAGCCTGGAAAAAGTTGTTTAGCATTCCTGTAAGGTGGATCTGATATCACATTTTCTCAATTTTTGTTTGTCAGGTAATGTAGAATTTTGCTTTCCTTTTCCTTTTTATATTTAACAATTACTTAGTTATTTTTTCTACACC